GCCGCCCCACCCACGGGAACCCCGGATCGCGGAGGTCCGCTGCGGCCCACCCGAGGGCCGTGTCCCGTCGGTCCGGGAAGCCGGGAGTTCCGCGTTGCCAAAAAATAAACTTTCTGAAGAGAACGATGCGTCTGTCGACGTCCGCTTGGTAGGGGTCTCGGAATCGTTTCGCCCGTGTCCTCACCCCACCGCGAGATGCAGCCTTCGGGCTCCCGCGCGCGGCTGTCGCCGGGAGGAGCGGGGCAGAGGTGCGCGGTGCCCTCGAGCATCACCGGGCCGATGGCAGCAGGGCAGCGGTCGCGCCCCCGGGGTCGAACGGCTCCGGTCTGACCCGCCTGGCGCCCGCCGCAGCCCGCAACCAAACGGGGCACGCAACCCTGCAGCACGGAGGCATCCTGACCTGAGCTGCTGCGGAGCTCTGCTGGGCTCGATGTTGTCACGTTCCAGCGATAGCACTGAGAATGCACTGAGTCTGCGGCTGATGCAAACCGCGGCACGGCTTACACCGACAGCCATAGGGTAATGCCACAGCTCTCCTGCACCCAGCTCTGGGCACCGTTCTTGCAGGGGGTAATAACCCACAGAGTAGAACACTGGTGTAAGGCCAACATCAACAGCCTTTAATGCAGCACTGAAAAAACTAAGGGAAAGAAATAACGGAACAAAAATAAGCAGAGCTGAGAAGCAAAGTGCAATACAGAGGAAAGCATTAAGCTGGAGGAGAATCAAAGAAGAGGGCAGCAACCGGTTCTTGTCCTCAGTCTGGTCTGGGAGCAGTGGGTACAATGCGCAGTAAGAAAGGTTCTGTGAAGGTGTGGTGAGAACCTTTATAACAAGGCAGGCAGCAGTGCCCAGGGCTGTGCTGTTTACCCCAGAACATGGCACTCCTGCTCCAGCACAGCTGGGCCCCATGGCCTTCCCTCGCTGTGCAGCTGAGTACTCCTCAATACAGTGTGTACAGCCCTGGTGGTAGCGGTTTCTGGATTCAAAGATTAAAATAAAATAGAGAGATATAAGGAATACATATTTTTTGAGAGGAAAGATTTTTTTTTTTATTTTTTACTTGGAGAATAATTTAGAGAGAAGGAAAGATGATGCCTGGTGGAAATGAGAAATATACGTCCCATACATAATATATGCCCCAGAAGTCCCATTACAAATACAACAAGATTTCCTGAACTGGAGAAGTCGCTACCCATTATAGTGCACTAATGACCCTCCATGGAGACACCGATACGGAGAGAGTCTTTAGCGTAATAATATTAAAAATCCTACAGTTTCAATAAGATCCTCCCTGCTACCATGACAGTGTGAAATGAATCCATTTCAAAGGAAGACTCTAATTGCTGCTTAGCATCCACAAAACATTCCACCATACACTGCAAACATACACCCCTGTGTGTCTGGCATGAGCTGCAGTGACACATCGCTCCCAGCACAGCTCAGCTGCTGCTGCTGCTCTCCCCCTGGAGGAGCTGCCGGTGCCGGCACTGCTCGGGGCACGCAGAGCTGCTGTATGCAGGGCTGAGATGGAAGCAGTGCTGCCCCTTCACAGGGCACGAGCACAGGCTCTGAATCAGCACATATTTGTTCCCATAGCATTAAGTACGTGACTAACCATACTGCAGTTGGTCCATCTACCATATAAAGTTTCTCAAAAGCATAACTATTTGCAAGTACAATGTTATCCCCTGAATACTTCGCATATATTTCTTTTCCAAGGGTACATTTGTTTTTTATTCAGACAGTGCCTTTTCTCACAAGTTCCCCTGACAGCTGCACTGTCCGCATCACTCTGGTCTCTGGCTCCCAGGATGGCTTTCTGAAAGGAGCAGAAATCTCCTGGTATCTCCTGTGGAGGTTTCAGTCTAGGCATGGGAACAGCACAGCTGCCAGCACAGGTCCCAGGCAAAGACTGGACAGATTGGAGTGTGCAGAAGGAGGGATGCGCATGGCTGAGTGCACCCCAGAGGGCTCCAGGTTCTCTCTTTCCAGAAGCTGAGGCAGTTCCCACATATTTCCATCCTAAGGGAAGCACGGGCCTGGGCACTGCACTGCAGATCAGCAGCTAAATACCATTTCTTAAAAGCGTCTGAGCTTCAGCAAAGCAGCACTGCGGACAGGCTCTTGAGTTGCTGCAGGCTGTGGGGCACCACCTGCTGCCTCCCGGAATGTGCGTGGGTTGCTCTTCAATGGGGAGATCCCAGAGCACTTCAGGTAGTGACACGATCCTGAACAGCAGTGATATTTTGGGAGTCAAAACCTCCAGACCGCCCACCAGGTCCCACAGCACTTTTTGCATCTCATTTTACTGCAAGTTTGATCTTCCTGTGAGAGCCTGGGCAGAGCACACAGCGCTGTCTGTGCAGCACCACGCAGCAGCGCTCAGCCCACTACTTATATGTTATGGATCATAATATTTAAGTGGCCCTGCTATAATCCTGTAACTGGCTTTCCTTGACAAAATGAGCTCTGCTCAGCACACACTAACAGCTGT